TTTAACCCAGCATTTTTTAGAGTGTATTGTATTTATAATTAATTTTAAGATTGTTTTAAACACAGTTGGCTCATTTACTTAATTTAAATATATAACATTGCATTATGTTCTGTGTGACTTCAAGTGCAAACTCGTTTCAAAGCAATAACTATTTAACGCTTTAACAAAGACTTTTTTTAAATCCCTATGGGGAAAATGAATGGGAAAAATGCAGCAGCAAAAAGTGGGCCTGTTCTAATTGACTCTATAGAAATAATGCTAATGTTTTTGGCATGATAAATGCAAAAAAATAATTAACCCTTCTTGTTTCTCCATCTCAGTCATGAAGATCTTCCAGAGCTTCACAGAGGGCGAGTTGAAGCAGGTCATCGGGACACTGGTGGATAGGAAAGCCCGCAGAGATGCCCAGCAGAGCAAAAGAACTAAACGGGCTAAAAAGCGAGCCAAACCCTGCTCGCTGCGGGAGGTGGAGGTGACAGTCAGTCAGCTGGGGTTGGGCTATGTCAGTGACGAGACTATAGTCTTCCATTACTGCAGCGGAAAGTGCACTACAAGTCGCAAAAACTACGACCTGACGCTGGCTTTCATGAAGCGCTCGCGGCTGCTAACAAAGTACAAGAAGGACAAGGCTCGCCACAGCCCCTGCTGTCGGCCCACCGCATACGAGGAGGACATCTCCTTCCTCGATAACTTCAATAAATACCACACAATCCAAGAGTTTTCAGCCAAAGCATGCGGATGCATCTGACGTCGAGGGTCAGAACTCATCAAAACTTAGGAAACATAGCATGTTTTAATCTCTGAAAGCTACAGACCCTTGATTCTAAGAAGATCTTCTGGGCTTAAAGCACTGAGACGAAAACCTTCATGAAAAATACGCGGCTGACAGATTGTCCTCAGACATTTCTGCCAGTCCTGATGAAGAGAAACCGCAAAAATATTAAGCAAATAATAATTATTCTCATGTTTATTCATTGCTAATGAGATGCTGCTGTATATCTTGATTCTATTGCCTTCGTGGGTCTACTTCAAATAGCTTGTAATGTTGAGCTCAATGGAGAAAACCTCTAGAAAATTCATTCAGGGCTTCAGTAAACAAAGCAAGTACACAAAGGCACACCCAGTGCAGAACAAAACTTCCTCATTGTGTAACCGACCTGTAAATGATCCCAGCAGCAGGTTTCAACTCTGACAAAGTCAAAACATTCCCACAAATCCAGTTCAAACAAACATATAAGTTATACTGAACATCTACCTCAGCTTTGAAATAGTCAAAATTGCTCTGTAAACGAAAACCCAACATTTCATTAAAATATGTAAATGTATTAAACATTATAATAATTAAACAAAAATTATGTATAAAAGAATAAAAAAGAACCTAATAATCTGCTAAAGGCTGGATTGCACATGCCTTTTAAAATTTTTAACAGATTTTAAAATGCTAAGTATCATACAAATGCCGATTTGTAAATGGCAAACTCACAAGTCGTTCCGAACACAACAAATTCACGCAGAAATATGCGCCTTGTGACAAACGATAAAATATGTGTTCTAAAATAAGATCAAAATATCCAACATGTTTGATATCCTCCAACTGGATGGAATCATAGTCTGAAGCTAAAAATATTGGAGTCTGTGCCCATCGTACACTACACGGTTATCCTGTGAAATCTGTCAGATCCGATTGCCGAGTTTTCGTCAAAATCTGGGCAAAAGTTGTGTAGCGTAATCCAGCCTTATGAATCTGATCAATTGAAATTATCAAAATACTATATGAAACGGGTTTCAAATGATAAAATTGTATATATTTATGAAACAATACTACAATGTCCAAAACAATCTCATTGCAAATCTTAACTAGTACACATTTTGGCAAACTGGTGGCTCATATTTATGAATTTGTTCTCATTCGTATGTTTTCATACAATCTGCTTAAGCCCAAGTGATGGTTACATTTAGGGGCGGACCCTCATGTTTTGGTATTTTTTTGCGAAAAATCTTATGTTTTTGTACTTCACATTGTATAAATTCATTGATCGGGTTACAATGTCTCCCCAAGGTTCTCCGGGTTAGAGGGATATTAGTTCGATTTTTGTGCATTGACAATATCCAAATTGTGCTTTGCCAAAATTATGCTACTATTGGCCTGGACTGGCTGTCTTAAAGGCACTGCGATCTTTGAACTGTTCCTCAGAGGAAAGAAAACTCTTTCAGCTCTCGTTGCATCAAGAATCCCTCCAGGTTCCTTTCATTGTCAGACGGTTTCCATTCCTTTAGATTCTTGCAAGAGTATTGGAATTGAAGGTAACCTCTCAGCAGCAGTCGGTGTCAGAAAATCCGTGCCTGAGGTCTTCCCTTAGTTAACCTGACCAAATCCACTTCGTTTGGGTAAATCCTATCACAGAAGAGTCCAATCCACTTAGCTCCTGTCGGGCCTTGGCCAAAAATACAGAGAACTCAAGTGGGAAGAACCTACCTGCAAAAGTGTCCTGATTTTAGCTCTAAACTCCACCAAAATAATCTCCTGTGATCAGGTGTTAAACAAGCACAGATACTAGTTAAACGAACTGCTCGTTTCGACTTTCTGTAGTCAATCATGTTTGCATTGACATAAAAATAATACTTTATAATAACATTATATAATGCTATACTTAGTGGATTACAGCTGCAATAAGACACGTACACATTATGTCAACAGATTGCAAATGCGATAATTGCATGCAACAGTCATCAGAACTATTTTTTCTGGGACTAGGAAGAGAATTTGGTATATAACTGAAGTACGATGAATCGAAATGAGAGTTGAAATCAATGTCTTGTGCTCAGGAAGCAGTTGAGTGACCCTTTAAGCCACATGTAAGTCTGCTCAGTTCATTAGAGCACTGATGTAATTACAGGACAATACTTAAGCCCTGACAAACGCTCGGCCTTAACACTCAACAAACCATGTGCTTACAAAGGTGTAAAGACGTTGTGCTACTGTAACCAACATTAATACAAACTTTATTTTGTTTTCACATATGGACAAAAATATATATAAAACCAAATTGAAGATTTATGCAATACACTAATGTAGTAATGTGCATGTTTATGGTTGTAAGTATCTTTTAGCATGCTGAACTAGAGCAATTGTTATGAAATAGAATCTAATTCACCTCAGAATTTCACATTCACAACCAAACACCATATGCAAAAGTGTCTAAGCTATATGTTTCTGGTATGATATTGCTTTTGTGTAATAATTCAAGGGATGGTTCACCCAAAAATGAAAATTCAGTCATGATTTACTCACCCTAAATGTCATTCCAAACCTGCATGACTTCCTTTCTTCTGTGGAACATAAAAGAAGATAATCTGAAGAATGTTTTGGTGATTTTGGAAAAGACATTTCTTGAGACATTTGTGACCCTGGACCACAAGTTATAAGGGTCAATTTTTCTAAATTGAGATTTATACATCATCTGAAAGCTGAATACATAAGCTTTCCATTGATGTATGGTTAGGATAGGACAATATTTGGCCGAGATACAACTATTTGAAGATCTGGAATCTGAGGGTGCAAAAAAATCTAAATATTGAGAAAATCGCCTTTAAAGTTGTCCAAATGAAGTTCTTAGCAATGCATATTACTAATCAAATTTACAAAATATCTTCATGGAACATGATTTTTGGCATAAAAGAAAAATCAATAATTTTGACCCATACAATGTATTTTTGGCTATTGCTACAAATATACCCCAGCGACTTAAGACTGGTTTTCTGCTCCAGGGTCACATTTCTCAAATATCTTCTTTAATGATGACAGAATTTTCATTTTTGAGTGAACTGTTTATAGTGGAAAAAATACACCTAAAAATTGTAACATTTGAACTGACTGATCTTATTCAAGTCCTAGAAATGTATTCATTTGACTGACTCAACTTGACTACATTTTTACAAACAAAAATATAACCGTCTGGTCTGATAAAAACAGCTTGCTAATGTATTCACTGCACAGTTTCACAGACACAACAAAATAATTCCACATGATATCAAAGAATCAAGCTGAGTAATAACAAAACATGCACTCCTGTCTAATCGAAATAGTGTTGTATAATCCACTGAATTCTAAATCTGTCACTCTGCGGTTAATCGTGTTTGTTCTTTTACTTTCTTTGGAGTATCTGCAGTGTCTGAGGAGTTCATCTATCCGTCCATATAGCCTCAGTCTCTTTCCACCTGCTGCAGTGGGATGTCCTGTTAACCCAGTGCATGCACACACACACACACACACACACACACACACATACGCACACACACAGCCTTTCGGTTTGAGCATTGTTGGACACTGTTGACCAACTGCAATAAACATTGATGCAATGCATCTATATAACAAATTCTGTATATTTATTGAAGAGTAAGTTATGGTTTGTTTGTTTATTTATTTAGATGTAGAATCACTGACTTAACGAGAGCATATTTATTAATTTTTTGGGTGCCAAAAAGATCTCATATGTATTGTATTCGATATATAACGTTTAATAAACTGTATCAGCTTTAAAACCACCCCAAACCTGTGTGATTTATACTGTCACTGTTTCACTTTTTGAGTTGCATAAGCACAAATTAAATCCAGATTACAATACTATTTCATTAATAACCACTGATACACAACAGTGCACTTTGCATAGTAGCAGAAACCTACAAAATTATTATAATTATTACAATTATTATCATTTTGTAATTTCCTGCTTTGTCTGTTTATATTATTTTATTAGTTTTGTTTTAAGAAGACCAGAGCAATTTTGTGTGGTTATATTTTCTCGGATGAATGGATGAGTTTAAGTGCTTGCTGTGCGAGTTTAAGCACTTGTCTAATGAATGTTATTAACTGTACCAGTGTGCAAATAAGAACATCAGTTAGTGTCATTTATGCCAAAGCTGTCAACAGTAACCCAAGCATCACAGACGAAAAAAAAAATCCTTTAAACCATTACAAGTTTAATCATTACAAGTAAATCAGTGATTTTGTTTGTTTGTATTTTCATTTGTCTGCTGAAGGTATCTGAATCTTGCATATTTCATGTGAGGTTTCAGCAACAATGAGAAGCAAACTTAATTTCCAGCCTCCTATTGTCCTCACTGCTGGACGACCCCCCGAGTGTCAGTCCACAGTGAACGGCCATGACACGCATGCATTACTGTCAACAGCTCTGTGTGTGCATGAATAAATGTCAGTGTAAATCTACACTACACACACACTTGCACACTTGACCCAATCCTGACTGTGAGAGAACCTGGTGCTTTAGTTTAAAGGCTATGTATTTACAATTTTACAAATGACATGCATTTACAGTACATTGCAAAATTTTAATTACAGAGCTGTGGGGTAATTCTTAGAAAACTGTACTATTTTCCCATTTCAGTCTTCATGACTTGCAAGTACAAAATTAACGTCTTTTCAAAGAACTGGCTAAAATAATGTTTGAGCGGGTGTTTAGTGTGGTTTTGGATCCCCAGTTTGATTTTTAAAGGGATAGTTCACCCAAAAACGACAACTTTGTCATCATTTACTCACACTTAAGTTGTCACAAACTTGAGTGTTCTGTGTACCCATTGACTACAGAATTTTCCTTTTTTTTAACTACCCCTTTAAAAAGTGGAAATTTTCATTTTAAATGTACAAGGCTTCCTGAAGCTTTCAAACTCTCATAAAGCTCTCGAGTCATGGAAATCGATCTTTAAACAAATGTTCTCCTCATTTAAGTTGGAATAATCAATAGCTCGTAACTTGAGATTTTTCCCTGACTGCATTAATAAGGGCACTGTCTTCATCTCGGACTTTGTAAGCAACAGTGGGAAATTTTTTTCTTATGAAATATTACTGGAAAATGTAAATCTAAACAGGATAAGGTAAATGTATCTAAACAGGACTAGGATAACAAATATTATCCCTTATAATCTGTTGTTCTAAGTGAAATCTTATAAATTGAATTGCAATATAATTTTGGATATCTCTAAATTACCTATACCAGTAGTTAGTTTCACAACATCACATTGTTTGGACTTTCTTCGTCCTCATGTGTGTTCATCGACACAGTATTTTGGATATAAAATATACTAAAGATTTCTGAAAAAAATGTATTACTTATTAATAAAAATAATTGAATTACTAAAGCTTACAATTCCATTTAAAAATGATTCAAGTAATGAAAATTTAAGTAAGTTTAACCAAAACATTTTCTCATTGTGTGCCTTTTGCCAAGAAGAGGAGAAATCTCTCACCTATTTATTTTTGTTCTTATACTACAGATTT